CCAGACTCATGTGGCCTCGGAAGGCTATCTAACTTAGCCTCAGTTTCTTTTTTTGTTTAGATTTATTTTATTTATTTGAAAGAGAGTTAGAGAGAGGGAGACAGAGAGAGAGACAGAGAGAAAGAGAGAGACAGAGAGAGAGGGGTCTTCTGTACGCTGATTTACCCCCTAGATGGTTGCAACATACAGAGATGCGTTGATCCAAAGCCAGGAGCCAGGAGCTTCTTCCGGATCTCCAATGTGAGTGCAGGGGCCCAAGGACTTGCGCCACCTTCTACTGCTTTCCCAGGCCATAGCAGAGAGCTGGATCCAAAAAGGAGCAGCTGGGGCCAGAACCAGCGCCCATGTGGGATGCCAGTGCTTCAGGCCAGGGCTTTAACCTGCTGCACCACAGCGCTGGCCCCTAGCCTCAGTTTCATTTTTTTAAATATTTATTTATTTATTTGAAAGTCTGAGTTACACAAAGAAAGAGAGGCAGAGAGAGAGAGAGAGAGAGGTCCTCCATCTGCTGGTTCACTCCCCAGTGGGCTCCAATAGCATCTGCCAGAGGTTGTCAGACGGCCACAACTGTCTGAGCTGCGCTGATCCAAAGCCAGGAGCCAGGAGCTTCTTCTGGGTCTTCCATGTAGGTACAAGGACCCAAGGACTTGGGCCACCTTCTACTGCTTTCCCAAGCCATAGCAGAGAGCTGGATCAGAAGTGGAGCAGCCGGGACTGGAACTGGCACCCATATGCAGGCGGCGGCTTTACTCACTACGCCACAGCACCAGCCTCCAGCCTCAGTTTCTTAAGCTGTAGTAACACCAATCCCTCCCTCACAGGGCTCTTATGAAAATTCAAGCAGAGTAAGCACTTGGCAAAGGACTTGAGCCAGAGAAAGCACTGAGCAGTGAGAGCCAACGATTGCTCTCTCCCACTGTCAAGTTGTTCAGCCCAACCCAGGGTTAGAACATGGGCATCACGGGGAATGAACACCACTGGTCAGTGAGGTCATCTCCCTTAGCAGTCCTCTTCACTTCCTTCATGGTGTGACGTAGACAGATCTCTGTGCTGCTTGAATTAACCAAACACAACGAGGATCATAAATGTCTATCATAGAATTAATGAATCATGGTATGTTTGTATTATACAATCTGAATTGTGATGATGACGCAACTGACTTGAACTCCGCCTGTCAACATGGACAGGAAGAAAGCAAATGCTAGATGATGCACCCCGCATCAAGCCATAATACCCCTGACATTTCCGTGCATGCAAGTCACCACTGTGCTGTGTGCCAGCCCTGAGAAGTTTAGGATGAACATGCACAGCAAAGACAAACAGAGATCGGAGATGCTGTTCCCAGGAAAGGAGGGAGAGGAGCTGCAGGGGTTTAGGCAGCTTGGACTGTGTCTGGAAGCTGAGCTAGCTTCTGATTTCCTTGAATGTGCTGGGAGAGGGAATTTGTATGAGACCTTCTTGTTTTAAGCCTCACAGAAAGCCTAATTATGGAATGGGAGGAAGCAGCAGAGGCCACGACCTGGAGAAGGGAGCCCCCCACTACCCAGCCTTGCAGAGGCAGGACCTGGAGAAGGGAGCCCCCCACTACCCAGCCTTGCAGAAGCAGGACCTGGAGAAGGGAGCCCCCCCCCTTTACCAGCCTTGCAGAAGCAGAGATGGGAACAGCCCAGGTTGCCCGGCCCCAGCTGGCCTCCCGGCCCCAGCAGGTTGCTTGGCACTTGTGAACCTGTCCCTGGTGTTTTTAGGGGGCAGAGGAGGCCCTGGTTGCTTGGCAGCTGAGCTCTGTCTCACTGGGCAAGAGGGGTGGGCTTCAGCCTCTTGGTCCAAGATCTCAGTGAATATCTAGGAGAGGCCTGGCCCCGGGCCAAGGTCCAGGGAGGCCTCCTGCCTTCGGGTCTACTCCTGGTGGTCAGTGGTCAGGGCTGTGGCCAGGCTTGGACGGGGTCTCTGGGGCAGGAGGCGGAGGCCTCTGAGCCGCTGATCCTTCAGTCCTGGGGCGATGCCAGACTCCAGAGCAGGACCCTCAACTACAGACCCCCAATCCCTCGGGCTTCATTCACTGGGTCCACGATGTGCCAGGGCTGTGCTGGGTCCTGGGAGCCAGGGATGAGGCGACAGCCCCTCCCCTCCAGGGCCTCCAGGGCTGCTGGTGGGGAAACCAGACACGAAAATAGAGGGGCCTAAAGGATGCTCAGTGCATGTGTGGGCTGAAGAAATGAAAAGGATTCAGTTGAATTCTGGCACTTGGAAAGCTGCTAGAGACTGGCCGTGTGGCCCAGTGCAGGGCTGTGGCTTGCTTGGGGATGCAGAGTTGTTCAGAGGCACAGATGAAACCAGAACCTGCAACTCCAAAGTCAGCCCAGGACCCTTTCTACTGCATGCCACTGCTGCCTTCATTTTAAGACCCACTTATTTATTTCTTTGACATCCAGAAGACACAGAGAGAGGGACAGAGTGAGAAAGAGATCACCCCAACCCGGGGGGCATCAAGGGAGGCAGGACCCACTTAGCTGAACAGAAAGAACCAGAAAGGTTGGTCTCTCTGGTCAACAGCCCCAGGTTGCTCAGCTTCTCAGGCTCAGCTGCTCCTTCGCTGTGGGTTTGGGTCTGGACTCCCAGATTGGAGGCAGATACCACAGAGAGGGCAAGGGGCCTGGGACTGAGGAGAGGAGGCCAAGAGACATGAAGCGCTGAGTCAGCACTGCCGTGCTCTCTCCTGGGCCGCCGTCATCCTGTGGGTGCTCCCAGGCCTTCAGGAGAGTCTGCCCGAGTGTGCTACACTGTGCAGCCACACAGGTGCCCCTGGAAGTCACGATGTGAAGGGAAATAAGCCAGACACACACAGACAAACTGCACATTCTCCCTTCATACGGAATAGCTGATTTTATGGAAGCAGAGTGGAGAATTGGGCACAAGAGGCTGGGAAGGGTTGAGAGGCGAGAGGAAGGTTAATGGTGTGTACAGTGAAGAAGCTGGGGAGGGGGGAGGAAAAACTTCTAATGTCCTCTGGCACCTAGGGGAGCTGTGGCTAACAATTATTCAATCAATATTTTGAAATAGATAAAAGAGAGCCGGCACTGTGGTGTAGCACCACGGTCCGGGAAGGCCTATGCGCAGTAGCTGCTGGGAGCACTCGGGTTCCCAAGGGCACTTTCTAAAACACCTGCCAAGCAGATCCCGCAGAGCACAGCGTCTGTGGGTGAGTGCGCTGCCGCCGATAAACCCTGTGAGCGCCTGGACCAGCCCTGGGTGACGCAGCCAGTTTTGGAGGGACCCAGCCCATGGAGCATTTCTCCATCTCTGTCACTCTGCCTTTGAAGTAAAAAAAAAAAAAATAAAAAGGTTATAAAAGAACTATTTAGGAGGCCGGTGCTGTGGCATAGCGGGCAAAGCTGCCACATGCAGCACCGCAATCCCATGTGGGTGCCAGTTTGAGTCCCGGAAGCTCCACTTCCAATCCAGCTCTCTGCTGTGACCTAGGAAAGCAGTGGAGGATGGCCCAAGTCCTTGGGCACCTGCACCCAGGTGGGAGACCTAGAAAAAGCTCCTGGCTCCTGGCTTCGGATCAGCGCAGCTCCAGCCATTGCGGCCATCTGGGGAGTGAACCAGCAGATGGAAGACCTCTCTCTCTCTCTCTCTCTCTCTGCCTCTCCTTCTCACTCTGTATAACACAGAATTTCAAATAAAAAAAAGATCTATTTATATGTTTGAAAGGAAGCAATGAGAGGGAGGGAGAAGGAGTCAGAGAGGGAGAGAGAGGGAAAAAAAGAAGTAGAGAGAGAGATCTTCCACCTACTGGTTGATTCCCCAAATGGCCACAATGGCTGAGGCTGGGTCAGGCTGAAATCCAGAGTTGGGAAACCCACCCGGGTCTGCCATGGGGGTGCAGGCACCCAGGCACTTAAACCACCTTCTGCTGCCTCGCCAGGTGCATTAACAGGGAACTTGATTGGAAGACAGCAGCTGGGGCTCAAATCAGTACTCATCCAGGTTGCTGACATCATAGGCCACAGCTTCGCCCACGGTGTACACCAGAACGCAAGTGCACGTAAATCTTCTTCAGAGTTTTAGTTTGATTTTGAGGGGCAGAGAGAGAAGGAGCACTTCCCTTGACTGGTTCATACGAGAAATACTCACAACGGCTGGCACTGAGCCAGGACCCAGGACCTGTCTCCTGTCTCTCGCGTCCTGTCTCCTAAGGCACACACCAGCAGGGAGCTGGACCCAGAACAGAGAGCGGACTCGGGCCCAGGCGCCCCCGGATGGGCTTGGGGTGTTGCACATGGCACCTTCACCGCTGTGCACATTCCCTTGAGTGCACAGCCACGCACTGCCCCTCAGTCCAGTGTCACCGTCTCTGCCTCCCCCGAGTGAGTCACTCCACTCCCGCCAGCCACTGCTGCTTCGTCTGCTCTGTGGAACCTGACCTACTGCCGGGCACAGCGTTCAGGAATTTCTATCGATTCGCTGTGGACTCCCCAACTCGACTCAACTTCTGGAGGTCGGGGCCCAGTAGGTGCCCGGCTGCAGCCCCCAGAGCAGAGCCTGACCCGTGGAGAGCAGGTGCTCAGCAAGGTCTCATCAGGAGGTGGAGACAACGTTGCTCCCACTGGGGGAGGGAAAGCTGAGATGAGGAGAAGCCGTGCCCGAGGGCCCGGAGCCGGAGGCGGCACAGCGGCCGTGAGCCCGGGGCTGCGAGGTCTAGCACCTGAGTCCTTTCCGGAAGGAAGTGGCGCGTGCTGATGCCAACTTTCCATGCTGGTCCCTGTTATCACTGGGTCCCCAGTGCCACCTGTGCGGACACATGGGGCGGGGAACAGGGCGTTCTCCCACTGGCTGTGATTCCTCCATCTGCAGGGCTGGGGACTGTGGCCTTGGAAATGGGAGAGACCTGGTGTCCCACCAGCTGTGCTGGGAAGGGGCCCAGTCCAGCCCCCTGCCTGCCTCGCCCTATATTAGAACGCGGGCTCTGTCGCTCGTCCTCTCTCCCCACACTCACGATGCTCCGGCTGCTGAGCGCCCTCCTGCTGGTGGCCCTTGGTAAGAACCCAGCCCGCGTCTGTGCCCTGCGCTGCCTGGGCCAGGAGCCCTGAGATCTGCTCCCCACCCTGGTCCCGGGGTCCCAGGCCCTGCTCCACAGGAGGGTCTCAGCTCACACCTGGGGCACAGCAGTGGGGGCTTTAGCTTGGTGCTGGGGAGGAGGGGGGAGCGGAGCAGGGGATGGAGCAGCTCAGGAGGACTGGGAGCAGCACCCAGGGCTGGGGCAGGTGTCCTCAGTAGGGGCAGTGAACACAGCCTCATGGTGAAGAGTCTGGCTCTGTGCTTAGACTGGGTGGGGTGGCATTTCCAAACCTCTGCTGACCCCTCCAATCCCCCACTCACACGTCCCTGCCAACCTTTCCTAGCCTCTCTGCCTTGTTACACTGCAGCTCAGGGCCACCTCCTCTGAGCAGCCTCCCCTGACTGACAGCCATGGTGATAGTTAACATTTACCGAGTGCTTACTGGATGCCAGGCAGAATGCTAAGTTGTTCGTCTCCTATGACCCCATGCAGTTCTCATCCAGCTCCATGAGGTCAGTGCTATTCTTGTTCCCATTTCACAGATGGAGAAACTGACCCTCAGAGAAGGAACGTAGTGCATCCTACAACCAGGGGCTGTGCTGTGCTTTGAACCCAGGATGTCTTACTTCAAAACCTTCATTCTTAAAACTAAAAAACCAAAACTGTGCTTATGCTACTTAGCATTTTATTTCCAAAGTGCAGGGGGCTGACGGACCGACAGATATCGCCTATCCTCCGGTTCACTCCCCAGATGCCTGCCACAGCCAGGGTCCCACTGGGCTGAGTTGGGAGCCACAGGGTCACAGGACGCAAGTCCTTGGTCCTCACTGCTGGCCCTGGTGGTCCGCACTGGAGTGGACACTGAGCACAGAGCCAAACTGCAAGCCGGGCAACACCAGTTCTGATGAGGGCGTTTCACGGGGCCCCAAAACCACAGCATCAAGTGTGCACGCAATGCTCACACGCGCTGTGACGTAGCCGCCATCATGAGGGCTCACGGGGCTCCAGGCACCGTAGTTAGTGACAAAATCCCCAGACCTCACTGTTCATAGGCGGCTACTGAGGGTCAGAGAGGGAAAGGGGATGGCACGGGGTCACACAGCCCGTTTGTGCACAGCTGGGTGGGGCCTGCCCTCCTTCCTGCTGGGGCCCCGTGGCTCGCTGACGCCCCTCCTCTCCTCTCCAGCCTCGGGCTCTGCCCTGCCTTTCTACAACCCCTCCAGCCGCGTGGTCAACGGCGAGGAAGCAGAAGCCCACAGCTGGCCCCCGCAGGTGAGAGCAGCGCCAAGAGTACTGACTACCACCCTGGGTGATGACTGCAGGCGCCGGTCCTGGGCCCATGGACACTTCCCTGTCTCCTCTTAGCTGCCCAGAACTGGGAGCCCTGGACAGTCAGCTTCACCTGCTGTTTTCCAGTTCCATCTACGAATCTCACAAGGCTGTTTGCAGATAAAAAGCACGATCAGGGGCCTGGGAAGTCTTAAATCAAGGGGTTGGTGTAGGAGTAGAGGAATTCAGGCAGGCAGAGCTGGGGCACTGATTTCCAGAGCCTCGGATCACAGGACAGGGCCCTAAGGTCGGGAGCAGGCGGAGTGGGGAGTCTCACCAGGGCCGAGGAGGCGGCACCGAGCCCAAAGCTTGCTGTGCTGTGGAGCAGAGCTGCCATAGCCACATGGGGATGTGCAAATGTGAATTAATCAAATCAAATAATGCACTTTCAGTCCTTCAGTGCCAGCCACATTCCAAGTGTTCTAGAGCCACCTGGGCCAGTGGTTCCCACTGTGGATAGCAGAGAGGAGAACTGCTCCATAGCCCAGAACGTTCCGTGGGCAGGGTCAGCAGGCGTGTTCTGTGAGGGACAGAGAGCGGGTGCTGCAGCCTTGTGGGCTACGTGGTTTCTCCAGCAGGGACTCAGCCCCGCCATCACAGCAGGAAAGCAGCCAGAGACCGTCCGTGTGTGCGCGAACGGCCTGCGTGCGTGAACGCTTACGTCCAGCACAGACCATGGGCACACGGGGCCGGGGGCCATAGCTGTCAACCTGCTCTCCAGGGAGATCGGGAAACCCTGCCTGTGCAGAAGATGGGACGGGAGGAGAGGACTCGGGGGAGTGGAGCCCCAGGGGACCCGAGAGGCCTGCAGGGATGAGGTGCAGAACGGGGGGTCAGAGAGGCCAGCGGGTCTTGGGGCTCTCATGAAACAGAGGCTCAGGGAGGCCCCAGAGGGCAGACGTTGGAGTCCTCGGAGGTCACAGGCCCTGGGGTGGGCGACTGGAGAGCCAGTGACCCAGTGGAAGAGGGGTGGGATCACGGCCAGCCCTGTGCAGGTTGTGCACTGCCAACTCAGAGGGCTTCGAGTGTGAATGGGGCTCCTTGAGTTGTGCAGTGCACACCCTAGACAGCTATCCTAATGTGGGGCTAGGAATCCTAGACGGTTTCTCTCCCACCCCAGGCCCTGTTGGAGTACGAGGTGAGTGGGGGCTGGTCCTTCACCTGCGGTGGGAGCCTCATCGACCCTGACTGGGTTCTCACTGCCGGCCACTGCATCTCGTGAGTTTCCCTGCTGTCCCCATGCCTGCCCTGGTCTTTGCCCTGTGCGGAGTTACCCAGGCCACCCAGGCCAGCAGGTGGCTGTGAGAGGCAGGCAGCCATGCTCAGATGAACCCCTTTCCTGCCAGGAGCTCCCGGAAATACAGGGTGGTGCTGGGCGAGCACGACCGGACAGTGACGGAGGGACCCGAGCAGGTCATCAGTGTCGCTGCTACCTACGTGCACCCACAATGGAACTCCAGCTGTCTCAGCTGCGGGTGAGTGAGCTCCCAGCCGGGGCCCGGGCTCCTGTGCTCATCCCTCAGTGACCGCCAGGGACTCCCAGGGACAATGGGGAGCGTAGCAACCTAGGGCCAGCCCCCACACACTGAGACCTTCAGCACCAACCTCCCTCCCTGCAGAGGGGACAGCAGGGCCAGGGAGAGGCAGGAAGCCCCCACAGCTGCTGGGCTCTGTGGCTCTGGAGCCCAGGAACCCTCGGGCACCTTCCGCAAGTCCAAGGATTCCTGTGGTCAGCACAGGTCCATCCGGAACAGCTGGGTCCCGGCCTTTCGGATGAAGGAGGAGCACTGGGTGGAGAGTCAGGCTCTGGCAGTCACTCCCTGAGTGGCCTGGGTGTCACGGCCCTGCCTGGGCTTCAGTTTCCCCTGGGTGAGAGGGTGACCTGCAGCAGGGCTTCCTAGTGGTGGTGACGGGCGGGGAGGCCTCGATCAGCCTCACCTGTGTGCTCAGCCCTGTGTCCGGGTGGCTCCGCCTCTTCTGTGAGAGGAGCACAGGAGGGGGCAGAACCCTGGGGAACAGTGCAGGAGGGAGGGGCCACCGTGATGGGGACCACGGCCTGTCCTGGCGGGGCTCCTGGGGACATAGGGAGACCAGGGAGACCCAGGTGAAATGTCCCGAGTGACAGCAGCAGAGCCGTGGTGCCCAAGGTGTGGTCTGAGAGGCAGTGGCAGGAGCTTCCCCTGGGACCCTGTTAGAGGGTCAGGCCTAAGGCCTCAGACAGACCACAGAAAGCTTCGGGACACATGGTTGGCTTTAAGCCTTTTGTACTTATTTATTAGCAAGGCAGCAATGTGTGCAGGAGCCAGCCCTGGGCCGGGCCCACGTCAGGATCCTAGAACTCTACCTGGGTCTCCCCGTGAGAGGCAGGAATCCAGGGACTTGAACATCACCTACGTTCCAGGGGGCACATGAGCTGAAGCTAGAATGGGACCTGAACCCAGGCACTGTATGGGGACGTAGTCTTACCCAGTGTGCCCACCCGAGCAGTGCCTCATAAGACTCCAGGGTGTTAGATGCCCCTGCCGTGTGAGGACCGCAGGTGCACACAGGGAAAATGATGGAGGCCAAGGGCTGGTGGGGGCCTAAGGGTTCAGGGTGCTCTGATGGCTGCTGTACCATCGCAGGGATCTGGGGCACAAAGGCACAGCTGGGGCCCCCAGAGCTGAACACCTGGAGCACAGGCCGGGGAGGAGTCTGTGCTCTGAGGACCAGGCTCCCTGTGACTCCTCCCTCCCACAGCAATGACATCGCCCTCCTCAAGCTGTCGCAGAGTGCTGAGGTGACACCCGAAGTCCAGCCCGCCTGTCTCCCTCCCCGCGACTACATCCTGCCCCATGACACAGAATGCTACGTCACCGGCTGGGGTCGTCTCATCAGTACGTGCTGACAGGGGACAGTGGCAGAAAGACAGGGCTGGGGGCCAAGGCCAGGGGTGCAGAGGGGCACGGAGCTCGAGGATGGTGGTAGTGGAGGGAGGGATGTCCCCACCTGTGCAGGAGAGCTGGGTGCCTCAATGCCCCGCCCTGGGGGCCCTGCCCTAACCCAAGCACCCCCTCTCTGCTCTCTGTCCCCGTAGCCGGTGGGCAAACGGCCAACAAGCTCCAGCAGGCACTGCTGCCCGTGGTGGACTACGCACACTGCTCCCAGAAGGACTGGTGGGGCTCCTCCGTGAAGGAGACCATGGTGTGCGCCGGCGGCGGGGACAGCTCTGCCTGCAACGTGAGTCCCCTTGCACCGTCCATGGTGGGCAGGGTCCAGGGGTCCCTCTTCTGTCTCCATGGAGGTGGGGGAGGGGTCTTTCCTGCTGCCTCTAGTGGCCCCTGGGCAGGCAGGACATGGGGAAGTTGTTGCAGTGCAGACAGCCCTGACCCTGGCCCCGACCCGGGCTGACCTGACCTGGGGCAGCTGCCCTCCCTCCTGGTGCTCTGGCGACCGTGACCGCTCAGCATGGGGCACTGGCACCAGGACCTCCCAAGTCACCCACTCTGTGTTCTGAAGGGACCCTGAGCTCTTGCATTAGAGGCGCGCGTGAGCATCACGTCCATGAGTGACTGCGCCACCGGCAGTGGGAGCCGGCGTCTCCCGGGGCTCCCTCTCTGCAGGTGTGGGGCTGAGGTCAGCTCTGTCCCAGCTCATCCCCAGCAGCTCCTGTGGGACAGACCCTGCTCCCGGCTCAGAGGAGCCCCTGAGGCTCAGAGGTCAACACTGAGGGTGTGGTTTTCAGTCCCCAAGTTCAGGATCAACTCCTGACCCTCAGACGCGGCTCAGCCCCGCCCCCTCTGACTGCTGCAGGGTGACTCTGGGGGACCCCTCGTCTGCCGCATAGGAAAAGGAATTTGGAAAGTCTATGGCGTGGTCAGCTTTGGTTCTTCCCGTGGATGCAACACCCTCCAGAAGCCCACAGTGTTCACCCGAGTGTCGGCCTTCATTCCCTGGATTTTTGAGGTGAGAACACTGTACCTCTTAGGGCCGCAGGGTGGGGGCTGTCCTGAGAGGGGCTGGGGCACAGGGAGGAGGGGCAGATCCTGGGAGGGGCTGCAGGGTCCCAGTAGGGCATTGGGGGTGGGGCCTTGGGGACATTGTAGAGGGCAGGGGGATGAGCTCTGCTTGTGTGGCCCCCTGCTGGGGGAGACGGGAAATGACAATAATGGTAAAGGCTGTGAGAGCCAGGGGAAGCTGAGCCCCTTAGTGTCATCTGGGGACAGCTGGTCAGAGAGGGTCAGTGTTGTCCATGGTGACCGCAGTGAGCACCGTATAGACTGGGTAGATGAGCACCAGGACTGGGATGGGGCTTTGGTTATGGTTGAATCAGGACTCCACAGGGTGAGTGCTGGGATCTCCACTCCCATTAGAGAGGGCAAGTCACTCCCCCAGGGCCACACGGAGAGTGAGTGGGGGCTGGGAGCTGCTCCAGTTCCACTGACTCCAGAACCTGTCACCCTCACTCCACTGTTCTGTCCCCTCCCTGTCTTTTTTCAGACCATTTGTAGCAGCCTCAAGTGCCCATGCTGACCCCACGTCCTGTGTAAAGAATAAAGAGCTCTCTCAAGTCCCGAGTGGATCTGTGTCCATCAGTGACTTCCCCCACAGCCGGGTCCTAAATCTGAGAGCTGATTTGCAGAGGAGACCAGAGCCCCCTCTCCTGGGAGGACCAGGACTACACTGGCCCTGGGAGAAGGAGTCGTGATGGGGTGAACAGTCCCCTTGGCGTGCCTGGGACTGGGGTTTTGCACCCAGCACTTTCATTGTGGAAGTGGACTCAGTCCCAGGGAGGCTGAGAGCCGTTGGGCACCCAGGTTAGAATCCGACAAAGCAAAGGTTTCTGGTGCAGGTGTCAACCACAGAGCAGCTGACCTGCCACACTCGCAGGAGGCTCACGGGACCGTGGGGAGGATCGCGGTGCCCACTTCCACTGGCTGCTGAGGAGGAGGGCCGTGGTCATTCATTCAGTATCATTCGTTCCTTTTAGCAGAGAGGGGTGCTGAGAGGGAGGGGCACGTGGGTCCTGCTCTGAAGTGTTCATCACTTAGAGAGGAGTGAGCAGGGCACAGGCCTTCCGTGAACACTGACCGGCTGCGTGCCCATGACAGGCTGGGGATTGGCGGTCCAAGGGGAGAGGGACAACCGAGGGAGACCCTGGGTGCTGGGCGAGGAGCCACACACAGGTACAGGGACACAGGTGCAGGGCTGCACACAGGCGGAGCCCACCAAGCAGTCCTGGAGGTCAGAGCACCCTCTGCTGTGCAGGCGGAAGAAGACGCACACGGCCCAGTCCCTGTAGCTCCTGTTCCTCCTGATATCCCCAGAGCAACTCATGGCCCAGCAAGGACACGATACTGGTGTGCTCTGATGTTCCTGCAATTAACAGTTGAACTTCTGAGTCCAGTGTTGGGTGCAGCTGTGAAGTCCGTGGCTGCTGCACTGGCCCGCCAGGTAGGAGCACCACTTCCAGTCCTGGTCTGCGGCTTCCTCTCCTGCACCCTTTGAAGGCCTGGGCAAAGAGGGGAAGAAGCCCAGGTGCTTGGCCCCTCCCACCCAGGTGGGCAACCAGGCCGGAGGTCCAGGCTCATGGTTTGACCTGGCCCAGCGCTGATCAGTGCAGCCACCTGGAGTGACTGGAGGATGGGAAATCTTCTCTGTTGCTACAATGCACACATCCCATGGTGGACACTGTGATCTGAAGCTGCTTCAGCTCCTGATGCCTCCTTTTTTAAATATTTGTTTGTCTAGTGTTTGAAAGGCAGAGTTACAGAGAGGCAGAGGCAGAGAGAGAGGAAGGCAGGTCTTGCATCTGCTGGTTCTCTCCCCAGATGGCTGCAACAGCTGGAGCTGGGCCGACCCGAAGCCAGGAACCAGGTCTCCCACAAGAGTGGAGGGGCCTAAGGACTTGGGCCATCTTCTACTGCTTTCCCAGGCCACAGCAGAGAGCTGGATTGGAAGTGGAGCAGCCAGGACTCAAACTACGCCCATATGGGATGCCAGCACCACAGGTGGCGGCTTTAGCAGCTCAGCCACAGCAGGCCCCTGCTTCCCTGTGATACACCTGGGAAGGGGGTGGATGCTGCCCAAGTACTTCAGTCCCGGCCATGCTGTGAGAGCCCGGGGGCGAGTTCCTGGATCCTGGCTCTGGCCTGGCCCAGAGCTGGCTGTTGTGCTGATGTAGGGGTGCGAGCCAGTGGGCGGAAGTTTCTCCCTGTCTCTGTCTCTCCCTCTCCCTGTCTCTCTTTCTTTCTGATCAATAAATACATAAATCTTATATTAAAAGTGCATTTGCGGCCGGCGCCGCAGCTCACTAGGCTAATCCTCCGCTTGCGGCGCCGGTACCCCGGGTTCTAGTCCTGGTCGGGGCACCAGATTCTGTCCCGGTTGCCCCTCTTCCAGGCCAGCTCTCTGCTGTGGCCCGGGAGTGCAGTGGAGGATGGCCCAGGTGCTTGGGCCCTGCACCCCATGGGAGACCAGGAGAAGCACCTGGCTCCTGCCATCGGATCAGCATGGTGCGCAGGCCACAGCGCGAGCCGCGGCGGCCATTGGAGGGTGAACCAACGGCAAAGGAAGACCTTTCTCTCTTTCTCTCTCTCTCACTGTCCACTCTGCCTGTAAAAAAAAAAAAGAAAAGAAAAGAAGAGTGCATTTGCCACACCTTTCGCTAGTGTACAAGAGACACAGTGCAGAGAGCCTTGCTCTCTAAATCAGAGACCGACAGAGACTTTGCTCTCCGACGACTCAGGACCAGGGACTGAGCATCCCACTCGGCTCCAGTGAGTCAGGGCCGGATCTGATGCCGAGGAGCAGCCTGGAGATCCTGACTGCAGCCGTCGCTCTTTAGCGGGCCTTTGCGGTGTCCAGGGGAATAGAGCATGGGGTCCGGTTCTCATCCTAGCCTGGTGGTAACCTTCTCCACAGCTGTGTGAGCCCTGAGTCTGTCAGTGCCGCTTCGTTTCAGGGTCTCCCAAGTACCGTCCTCCCCCCAGTCCTGTGAGAATCATTTCCCTCTGGTTTCACTCCACGCCTTTCCTTGAGCGCTGTCCTCCTTGCTGAATCGTGTTAATAAACCTGACGTTGGAGGCCGGCACTGTGGCACAGCGGTTAAGGCCTCAGCCTGCAGCACCCGCATCCCGTACCAGTTTGAGCCCTGGCTGCTCCACTTCCGATCCAGCTCTCTGCTGTGGCCTGGGAAAGCAGTGGAAGATGGCCCAAGTCCTTGGGACCCTGCACCTGCGTGGGAGACCTGATGGAGGCTCCTGGCTCCTGGCTCCTGGCTTCACATCAGCTCAGCTCCAGCTGTTGCAGTCATTTGGGGAGTAAACCAGCTTATGGAAGGCCTCCCTACTTCTCTCTCTGGCTCTACCTCTTCCATAAATCTGTCTTTCATATAAATAAAATAAGTCTTTAAAAGAAAACCCTGATGTTGGTGAACCACAGCTGTGTGCCTGGCGGCCTTCATCACCTGGGTGTCATCAAGACTTCTCTGTTCTTCACTGACTCGCTCACGTGTTCTGGGGACATGGTGGCAGGACACAGAAGGCTCTCGGCTGCTCTACCCGGCCTCCATGGAGGAGCCGGGTGTTCTGCACGGTGGTTACAATGCCACTTAGAATGCACGCCCGCCATGTTGTCAGAGGGCCTGCACTCAAGGCCTCCCCGCTCCACTTCTTATGCCAGCTTCCTGCTGGTGCACATGGGGGAGGCAGCAGGTTATGGCTCCAGGACTTGGGTCCCTACCTCACCCGGGGAAGACCTGGACGAGTCCCTGGCTTTGGCTCTGGCTTTGGTCTGTCCCTGCCTTGCCTGTGGCAGTCACCTGGGAGGTGAGAGAGCAGATGGAAGATCTGTCTCTGTGTTTCTCTCTCGCGCTTGCTCTGCCTTTCAAATAAAAGACACAAAATGAACAGGTGCCTTGATCACCTTTAAGTATAAAGATTGCTGTAAGAGGATGTTGTGCAGAGCAGGCAATTCTCCTCGGACCTGAGTGGGAAGCCTGTGGTGGAAAAATGAAGGAGGCAGAATAAAAGAATTTATTAGGCAGCTATGCGGGATCACACACCTGTTGAGGCAGGTGTTTGAAGCACAGCTGCAGGTGTAGCCCAGTGTCTCGTAAAGGCAGGGATATGTTCTGAGAATTGGCACCAGCGATGCTGTTGGCTGCTTTTTGTTGGTTACAATATGAAAAGATGGAAAGGGAACATGCCTTTCTATGGTTACAAGGGACAGCGGGTTAAATTACTGCCTGCAATTTCTTTTTTATTAAAGATTTATTTAAAAGTCAGAGTTACACAGAGAAGGGAGAGGCAGAGAGAGAGAGAGAGAGAGAGAGAGAGAGAGGTCTTCCATCCAATGGTTCACTCCCCAATTGGCCAAAACGGCCAGAGCTGTGCTGATCCGAAGCCAGGAGCCAGGAGCTTCGTACTGGTCTCCCACGTAGGTGCAGAGGCCCAAGGACTTGGGCCATCTTCCACTGCTTTCCCAGGCCATAGCCTAGCTGGATCAGAAGAGGAGCAGCCGGGACTAGAACCCAGCGCCCATATGGGATGCTTGCGCTTCAGGCCAAGGCGTTAACCCACTGTGCCATAGTACCAGCCCCTGCCTGCCATTTCGACATGCAACATGAGCGCCAGCTTTAGTCCTGGCTGCTCCATTGCTATTCAGCCCCAGGAAAGCAGCAGATGACCCAAGTGCTTGGGCTCCTGCACACACTTGGGAGACGGGGATGGAGTCCCAGGATCCTGGCTGTGACCATTTGGAGAGTGCATCAGTGGATGGAAGACCTCTGTCTGTCTGTCTGTCTCTCTCTCTCTCTTCCCCCTCCCCTTTCAGATAATTAAATGAATCTTTTAAAAAAGGCAGGAGGGGAAATGGTGGGGGAGCAGAGCACAGCGCTTGAATTTTTCCTTGACTGCTCTTACACGCAAATGTCGAAATGAAACCTGGAAATTGGAGCTGCTCTGGGACCCAAAGTGCCATCCCCAGCCTGACAGTAGCTGAGTCTTCTCAAACCCCGAGAGGTGGTGGTGCCCCTGGACTGTGAGACCCTCTCACTGTACAGAGAGAGAAACCAAGGCTGAGCGTGGGAGCGCGGGTTTAGGAGTGAGGAGGGGACGGGAGCAGGCTTTTCTCTTACATAGAGGCAGGATCAGGGCAGGCAGTCCTGGCACTGAACCAGCAGGAGGCGCTCATCTAGGAGGTCACAGCCCAGCAGAGGCAGTGTGGGCACACGGCCCCTCTCCCCTGCCCCAAGGACATCAGCTCTGGAGCCGTCACCAGAGAACGCGTCCTGGAGTATCTCTCTCACCCTTTCAAAGATTTTATTTTATTTATTTGAAAGGCAGAGTTACAGCAAGAGAAGGGGAGACACACACGCAGAGAGAGAGAGAGAGAGAGAGAGAGAGAGAGAGAGAGAGAGATCTTCCATTGCTGGTTTACTCCTCCAAATGGCCATCAACTGGGCTGGGGCTGGGCCAGGATGAAGCCAAGAGCCCGGAGCTTCTTCCAGGTCTCTCCTGTGGGTGCAGGGCTCAGGGACCTTGGCCATCTTCTGCTACTTTCCCAAGACCATTAGCAGGGAGCTGAAGCAGAATTGGAGAAGCCAGGATACAAACCAGAGCCATATACGATGCCAGAACTGCACCTGGCAGCTTACCCCGCTGTGCTGCAAGCCGGCCCCATGGACTTCCTGTCCTAATTCTACACTTCCCCCCATCTGTAGAGAGAAGTGGGAAGAAGGGGGGAGGGTCTATGCAGTGTCCCCTAAGGGACCCTGCCCCTCAGGGTAAAGGAGGTGGGCAGGGCACCAGGGTCAGCCTCTCTGTGCTTCCATCTCCTGCTGGTGCCATTTCACTTGCAGGCCCAGACTCAAACCACGCGGCGGTCATCGACAGCTTCTGTCCTTAACCGTCAGGCACCAGGGCCCGGGCGGAAGCACCAGGACTGTCCTGGAGGGGAGGCACACATGGCTGAGAGCCAGCCTCCTGCACAGACGGTGTCAAACCCAGGGACGTCTGTGCACAGCTGTCTGGTGCACGGAGGCGGGGACCAATAGCAGACAGAGCCCACTGCCTCAAGTGGAGCGACTGCAAGGCACCCCAGGACCCCTGCCTCCCGACAGCAGCCCACCTGCCCTTCCACTTGGTTTCATTTGTGTGGCGCCAACTCACACAGATAAATCTCAGGGGGCACTGAGTCAGCCACAGGTGAGCTCCTTAGAGACTCTCAGGTGCACTTCCTCTCTGTCCACGTTGCAGCTGGGGAACCGCAGTCGGATGTCTAGGAGATGCCTAGGCCACCTTCCAGGCTCCACAATGGGGGAAGGCTGAGGACTGAGGGCTGGGATGGTCAGGAGACCACCAAGGCAAGAAATCATAGAGTTGCAGGGCCCTCTGAGGCCTAGAGAGACTGGGAAGAGCTCCAGGGATCCTCCCTGCTAACCTACACGGAGGGTCCTCCAGGGTTCTGGGTGGGGCGCGACTTCCGTTTTGGGTCACGCTCAGGAGTGGGTGTGTCAGGATAATATCGCTTTCCCAGAGGCAGTGTGGCCCTGAGCAGCTGACCCCAGATTCTTGCCCCTGTCTCAGGTTCCCCCACCCTCAGAGATCGCCCAGCTCTGGACCTTGTGAGCATGTGGGGAGTTAATCTGCAGCTGGAGCTGTCACCCTGTCTTTCAAATAATAAATAAATAAATAGATAGATAAATAAATAAATGCATCCTTATAATATCTATTTATTTTACTACTGAAAATAATATTTCTTGGGTTCATTTGTTACAGAAAAAAATAGGAAAAAATACCCCAAATTGTCCATAATCTCAATACCCAGGTCATTCCCTGCCCCCTCAAAGATTTATTACTTACTTATTTGAAAGACAACAGAGGGAGAGACAGTGTAGAGATCTTCCAACTTCTGGCTCACTTGCCAAGTAGTTGCTCCTGCCAGAGGCGGGCCTTCCTGAAGCCCAGAGTCAGGAACTACATCTGGGTTTCCCAGGTGGGTTTCAGGGTCCCAAGCACATGGACATTTGTCCTTAGGCTTCCCAGATGAATTAGCAGGGAGCTGCATTGGAAGTGGTGCAGCTGGAATTTGACCGCTGCTCCAATATGGGATGCCTGTGTTGCAAGTGGCAGCTTGACCCGCTGTGCCACAATGCCCAGCCCCTTTCTGGACAGTTTTAAACACAAATGAAATCTTCACATGTGGAGAGAAAAATCCAACAATATCGAATGGTACAAAAGAAAAAGCTAAATTTGCTTACCCTTATAACCATTTTTTATGGACCATCCTCCACTGCCTTCCCAGGCTATAACAAAGAGCTGGATTGGAAGTGGAGCAGCCAGGACTTGAACGGGCACCCATAGGGGATGCCGACACCGCAGGTGGCAGCTTTACCCTCTACACCACAGCACCAGCCCCACTATGTCACTTTTAAAAACTCTCCTACAGTTGTTTTTCCTTTTACAGCCCATTTCACCACAGTGAAATGTGCCCGGCCAAGGTACCTTACATTCAACCCCAACTGACATTAATGTTAACAGAGAAGGCAGGCACAGAGCACTGAGTCTCTCAATGAGCAGATACAGTAAAGGGAACCATGTCCTGTACCAATGCTGTGCACTACAGGTGGTACACAGTCACAGGCAAATCATAGCAGGGGCAACATACTCTTTAGGGGTGGAGAAAGGCCACACCACGTGCTCCATGTTCCAGCCTGATGTGAAAAACTGCCATTTTCAAGTCCAGCCTGACCTACAGAAAAAGGTGCTCTTTTCCTTTAACGTCTTCAATGTGCCTAAGTGGAATAAGTCTTCACTGGTAAAATCACACTGTCAAGACTTTAGCTTAGCCATTCCCCTCTTCATTAGGTGAAATTAAGACCTCCTGTAACAGAAATTGAAAAAATTTGTCGACATTGTCCAGCTTTACAAAAGATGCTTAAGGATGGGCAACACACAGAAACACAGAAAGACAGCCATGACCTTGGAAGAATGAGAAGGCAGAAAAGCCCCCAGTGGAAGTACAAAGGAAATCCAAACAATAGGAATACTTATGGGAAAATGGCAGGGCCAAGTCATTACTTATCAGTAGTCACTTTGCATGTAAATGGCCTCAACGCTCCAGTTAAGAGGTGTAGACTGGATGAATGGATGGAAAACAAGACTCATCTATTTGTTGCTTACAAGAAACACATCTCACCAACAAAGATTACAGACTAAAAGTGGAAAGATGGAAAAAGATATTCCATGCTAACAGAAAGCACAAAAGAGCTGGTGTTGCCATCCTAATATCAGACAAATAAGACTTTAATACAAAAACTGTTAAAAAGAGTCAAAGAAGGGCACTATGTAAGGATTAAGAGATCAAATCAACAGGAAGATGTGACTATAATAAATGCATAGGCACCCAGTTACAGGGCACCTGGCTATGTAAAAGAAATGTTAATGGACCTAAAGGGAGACATAGACTCTAATACAATAGTAATGGGGGACTTCAATACCCCACTCTCAGCAATGGACAGATCAACCAGATGGAAAATTAGCGAGGAAACAGCAGAGTTAATGGACACTCTAGATCAAATGGACCTGACGGATATCTACAGAACCTTTCATGCCACAGTGGCAGAATACACATTCTTCTCAGCAGTACATGGAACTTTCTCTAGGGTTGACCACATGCCAGGCCACAAAAAAATTGAAATCATTTGATGCATCTTCTCTGACCACAATGGAATGAAGCTGGAAATCAACAACTCAAGAATCTCTAGGACATATGCTAACACACAGGACTGAAAAACATGCTCCTGAATGAACAGTGGGTCATAGACGAAATCGGAAGAGAAATCAAAAAACTTCTGGAAACAAAGAAGATGACAACACAACATAGCAAAACTTATGGGATACAGCAAAAGCAGTGTTAAGAGAGAAGTTTATGGCAGTCGGTGCCTACACGAAGAACCTGGAACGGTACCAAACAGGCAAGCTATCAATACATCTCAGGCACCTAGAACATCAACAGCAAACCAAACTCAATATTAGTAGGAGGAAAGAAATACTAAAAATGAGAGAAGAAATAGACAAAAGTGGAACAGACGAACAACAAGTAAATTTACCAAATCAGTGAAATGTGCTCTTTGTCCATCTTCCTGGACGTTTAGGGAAGTCCTTTTCCAGCATCCAGCGCTGGAGGCCTCCAGGGCTGCTGTAGCCACAGAGGTTTTCAGAGCAGGGGCTGGGAGCAGAGCGGAGTGAGGAGTCTTTGGCCTCATTGTCTGGTAAGGGAAACAGGCTTCTGTACTCAGATCCTGGGGTCTCAGGACCCAGCCTGGGTTGGGCTGGGCTGACTGGGGCTTGGCTGATGAGGATGACTTGGGCAGCTGCCCACCCTCTTGCCAGGCCTTTTGCTGGAAAGCTGACATCTGTAGAGCAACTGCTGTGTGGTAGACCCTGCCAGGCCCTTTGCATCCACCCTCTCATTCAATCCTCACAGCATCCCGACAACGCAGGTATTTCCTTTCAAGATGAGGCCACTGAGTCTCAGAGTAAGAGACTGTCTGATGTGTGACCAGCAGACCAGAAATGGAACCCTGCCCTCTGACCCCAAAGCCTACTGAAGCCCTAAGTGTGGAAGAGGGTGCTGCCTGCCCACATCTCTAGGAACTCAGACTGTGGTCTGGTTGACTGAACCTTGGGAGCCATCCAGCCTGAAGATGAGGATGGTGGGCAGCTGCAGCCCCAGCCCCACTGAGCTCACATCCTCCACGTCACTCCCCACACCGGCTGCTTGTCCCTTCCTAGCACTGGGGGGATAGAGGCCAGGCTTCAGCATGTCCGGGGGATGGGGCAGAGGGTCCCACTCTGCCCAGTGCCCAGCCTCAGCTTTTCCAACCCCTCCAGGCTTGCAGTCTTGGTTCCTTGCACCATTCCAAGCCAACTGCCAATCATAAGTCTTCCAAGATGCGTTGCCCTCCCGCTCTCCCTCCTCACTCTACTACTCCTCCCTGCAGGGGCCACAGTTCCACCTTGGTCCCCATCCCTGCTGTTCCCCACCTTCAGGCACAAGGAGTTCAAGGCCTCCCCCAGACTGGGGGCAGCAGCCTGCTACTCCAGAGACCTAAAGACCTTGCCTGATTAGCACACAGGTTGCTCCTTAGCCCCTCACAAGCCACTCGGCAGTGTCTCCCCTGCCCTGGTCCAGAAATGCCTTCAGCCTCATGATTCTTGAAACTTCATGTGCAAAAAAGACCAGGTCAGCAGTCGCATGAGAGCATCGCCCAAATCAATTCAGGCCGTGAAGCCCCCGTGAGCCTCCCCTGTTGCCTGGAGGGCATCTGTGCCCAGGCGGGGTCTCTGTGGCGGTGTCACTCACCTGAGCCTTACTTGGCTGGGAGCCTGCTTGCATTCCTGGGCAGAAAATCTCCGCTAGGGCCAGGCCTTGGCCCTCTCCCCGCCGGCAGCCTCCCACCCTCCTCCACGACAGAGCACAGTATGGCACATCCTCATTCTCTCTGCTCATCCACTCCCACAGACGAGCTCCCAAGGCCACAGGTGGCAGTCACAAGCCACGACAGACCCGCGCTCAGGAGCAGTGGACAGGTGTGAATTGGCAAGTACTCCAGCGATCAGGAGCTTCTTTCACGCCCAGCAACCCTGGGGCTTTCAGTCGAGCACATTTCAAGTGGAGACGAGGTCCCGAAATTCCTTATGGGACCAGGGATCTGCCCTCTAAAGGGGAGCCCATGAGGGGCACCTGTAGGCCAAGTCCAGCCCTGCAGAGAGGAGACAGCTGAGTGAAGGTGGGAGAGCACGTGACTGTTGGAACCTGGGCTAAGAAACCCAACACCAAGGACACTGGGTGACTGATGCTAAGTGTTAACCCGGACCTGTTTCTTCTTCCCTGAAGGCATCATATCAGTGGCATAGGTAGAGAGCACCAGCTGTGTCCTGGGTGCCACGTGTTGTCTCCTTTACTCCTAAAGACACCTTAGGAGGTGTTTATAGCACCCCCATTGTTCAGACAGAAATGAAGGGCAGAGGTGAAGTAAGTCGCCTATAGGAACGGGGCCAAAATGCCATCCTAAGCATCGGACTCAGGTCTGCCCGCTGACCTCTGTACTCTACTCCTTCCACCACGATCACTGCACCTGACAGTTATTAAGCATCTCCTGCGTGGTGGCACCGTCCCAAAGCTTTCAACCTCTAACAGGTGTGCTCCAAACACCTTAGCCTCCTGGCTCCCCCTTCCCTGAAGGTTTCCATCCTGTGTGCCATGGGAAGTGCCGAGTTTTCTCTGCTAATTCTAAGGAGGCCCACAGGACTGCTGTGCCTCTTGTCATGCCTCACTTGGAACGCCTGTTTCTGGACCAGTTATCAGCCAGTTTTGAGCCCCACCTCCAGCAATTGTCATGATAAATTTAAAATAATTGGCACATCCATCACCACAAACCTTTATAATACTTTTAGTTGGGAGCATTAGAAATGTTCTTTTATCTATTTATTTTTTAAAGATTTATTTTATTTAACTTGAAAACAGAGTTACAGAGAGAGAGGTAGAGACAGAAAGAGAGGTCTTCCATCTGCTGGTTCACTCCCAAGATGGCCGCAACAGCCGGAGCTGCACTGATCTGAAG